ATCATCATGAATTTTTTTTTTTTTTAAATGAGGTAATACTTAGATGATTTGATCAACTGTAGATTCCAATTGAATTTTGAGTGAGAGGGTGTGTTTTTGCTTTTAATGTATCCAAAACACTAACTTAGGGATAAAACAGCATCTAAGAGAAAGTTCTCATTATTACTTAAGAAAAAACTTACTGCTGTAATTACTTTGATTTTGTTTTGTTTTCTTTGCAGTCTTAAATTCATAGATTTTTTTTGTACAATAGATCAGAAGCATGCAAATGAGAGGAAACGGATAAATGAACATGGAAAAAAGGGCAAGTAAAATAAGGGAGGAAACAGGAAAAACTCTAATCTACTAGGACTATACAAGCAACTGATGGAAAATTCAAGCTAATGCCATATATTTTGCTGTCTTCTTTGGGCATCAGCACCTTAAAGTGTATCATGTTATTTGATGTTCAGACTGATGATCTAGTTTCATCAGAAAGTGATTCAGGATCACATGGTAATTTAAAAAACACTAGATGCTGTCCAGTTGACTTCAATTCATGGCAACCCCTGTGTGTGTCAGAGTAGAATGGTGTTCCATTAGGATTTTCAGTGGCTGATTTTTCAGAAGTAGATTGCCAGACCTTTCTTCCACACCTCTGGTGAACTCAAAACCCAGCCTTTTGGGTTAGTAGATGAGTGTATTAACCATTTGCATTCAAAAGAGAACTTGCACCCTTTGAACTTGGGAACTGGTCACCTTTCATTCATATAATGGATTCGATTATAAAATAAATAGTAATCACCCATTAATACTGTGCACCCTTAAATAACCAACTATATGAGACCAAACAGTCAACATTTACTCTAAAACAGAGAACCTAAGGAGGAGTAGGGAAGCTAGATTAATGAAATAGAACAATAACAAAAAAAAAATGGAAATTATAATAATGTTGATACATTATGGAAAATGTAACCAATGCCTTGGAACATGTGTCCAAAAAATGAAATAGAACGATAACAAAAAAAAAATGGAAATTATAATAATGTTGATACATTATGGAAAATGTAACCAATGCCTTGGAACATGTGTCCAAAAAAAAAAAAAAAAGCCAACCATTTATAGGCATTGTTAAATGGAAACGGAATTTGCTATTTAAACTTTCACCTAAAACAATAAAATATTTTTCACAAAAAAAGAGAACTTACATGTAAGTAGTAAGAAAAGCACTAGCTTATGTGATTACTATATTTTTCCACATTTAACACACACGTTACACGTTTTTGTGTACAGCACAACCTCCCATGCATTATTTTCATAAGTGTGCTATACTCATAATGTTGGTGAGTTCAATTTTAATTTCATTTATTCTGTCCAGTGGATTTAATGTTAAGTTTTTGTTTTTGCTGCCTGTTAATGCAATTTGGTTCCCAGCAGCAGACCCCCACCAACCTTCCCTCCTAATGCAGCTGCTCTCCCAACAGCATTCCTTCCCTGTTCTGCAAACCACTTTCTCCGGTACAGGAAGAAATCACTTTTTCTGCCCCAGAAATAGCCTTTACCACAGTGGCCAGCCCCAACTCAGTAGTCTGTACACCCTGGTCCAAAAGGGCCACTCAGGTGGGCAAGGCTGGAGTGCCACAGCTGCATGCATTTTGCCCTACTGCCTGGCTGTTCAGCTGCCGTACTTGGGCCATTTGGACCTCTTACGCATGCAACACCATAAGGTGTGTGTGAGAGCCACAAGCACTGAGGGGTCACGTGCCCCTTGCTCACATGAGATGGGTCCGACTGGCTGCCTGCTAGCACTACAAGACCAGGGGAGCAGTGCTCTGTGTACAGCCCTCCACCCAACCCTCCACCTTTCTCTGGCATTGTGTACTTGGGTGCACATTAGCTATAGGAACTCCACTGCTCTCAAGCCCAGTGCCAACTGCCCCAGAGCATATGTATAGTTTCAGTTGTTTATTTTCTGATTACAGAGTTATTACCAAACTCAATCCATGATATCTTGGCCATGGCGTACACCTTTATTTTACAAAAATGATCGAAAGTAACAGACTTTTGAATGAGGCCAAAAATCACTTCCAGAAATGTCACAAGACATGCACAGTGTTTGCATGGGTGCACTATGCCAGAACTTTTTAACGTAATTTTGGCATTGCTGCCTGTAATGTGTGAATACTCTATTTGTAAAAAAATATGGTAACTTTGAGTTTGAATGCTGTCACTTACCAGCTGTGTAGCACTGATTGGATTACCTGTCTTCCCTGACTCTCAATTTCCTTAGGTATGCAAGGGGATTGTCTCATACAGTAACTGTGTGGTGAAATTTAAATTAGACGGCAAATGTCAATCAACTAGAATAGTGGTTTTCAAACTTTTTGACCTCAGGGTATCTTTATATTCTTAAAAATTATTATGGACCTCTTCCCCCAAGACGTTAGCCCTTAGTCACCCATCAAGCTTGAAATCGAACTCACTCCTGGGGCTCAATTTGTAGCCAAACAGTAGACAGACCTATGAGGTGAACAGTAACACTTGATACATACTCCTTAGAACAGTCAGCCATAAGAGATCAAAAGGGCAGCATTTGCCCAAGGATAAAGCTCAGAAGGCAGGATGGATAGGAAAGAAGGCTGAAAGGAAATAGTAATCACAGGGAGGAAATGGGAAGAGTGATGTTACATTGTGGGGATTGCAGTCTGTCATGAAACAAAATGTGTATGAACTGCTGAGTGGAAAACCAATTTTGCTCAGTGAACTTTTATCCAAATCATAATAAAAAGTTTAAAAAAAAAAAAAGTATTAAGGACCTCAAACTTTTGTTCCTGTAGGTCTTATCAGTATTTGCTATATTCAGAATTAAAACAAAAAATGTGAATACTTACTAATTTAAATAAACAACCTATTGCATGTTAACATCAGCAATATTTATTATGAAAAATAAAATTTTTCAAAATGGAAAACTTAGTGGGATGAATAGCATTGTTTTATACTTTCCAGATCTCTTTAACCCCAGGCTTAATAGAAGATAGTTGTCTCTACATTCAGGTTGTTATGAAATGTTGTTTTAATGTATGAAGAAACTCTAGTCTCTCATAGATAGGTAATTGGAAAAGGGAGGAGCATTTTACAGCCTTTTCAGGCAGTTTTGAATATTCTTCCTTGATATTGTCCCAACACCTAACAACTGGTAATTTCTTAAAGATCTTGTAATATGAAATAAAAAAATCATGTTGTTGTTGTTGTTGTTATCTGCCGTCAAGTCGGCCCCGACTCATAGCGACCCCTCCTTGGGTTTCCGAGGCAGTATCACTACGGAAGTAGGATTGCCCAACCTTCCTTCCGAGGAGTGGCTGGTGGGCCCAGTTAACTATTCATACTGTTACATTAAAATACATTGGTCTGCCTTGAATGTTAATGGATCTTTGACCCATGCGTGATTTTATAACATCATGTAAATAAATAAATGTATAAATGAGCTTCTTCCCAGAGCCACATATTTAGTCACAAACCAAGTAACTTCTTTGAGTAGAAATATTAATTTTCTCCCAGAGGGAAATAGAAGTAGACTTGCTGTCATTTATATGGCACCATAATGGCCTTTGGACCTTGATCTTGCCTAGTTGTAGTTTAAAAAAATAAAGGAGGTGGGCAGGGATGGTTAATTTGAAATCAATTGTAATGTGCCCAGCCTGAAAGTAAGAAGAATCACATTGTTAATTAGTATGTTTTTAATAGGACCTGATTGAAATTAAATGTAGAAATTATTTGCTACATATTATATGGCAAAATTGGAGATAATTTAATAATTTTAAGGGAGGAGGAAGTATGGCATAAGGGTTAACCAAACCAAGCCAAACACACTGTTGTGGAGTCGGATCTGACTCATAGCGACCCCTCCTTGGGTTTCACTACAGAAGTAGATTGTTCAACCTTCCTTCCGAGGAGTGGCAGGTGGGTTTGAACCACCAGCCTTCTGGTTAGCAGTCAAGTGCCTTGGGCATAAGGGTTAAGAGCATGGGTTTTATCAGTCATAATAGTCCTGGTTCTGATTTGCTAGCTGTGTTACATTGGGTAAGTTAACCAAATGTAACCTTTCTAAGCCTCTATTTCCTCATTTGTAAAATGGAGATAAGGGTAGTTTCTTTATTAGGTAGTTGTAAGAATTAAGTGTGGTAATTAATAGCAGCTTCTTAAAACTTAGTCCATAAATGGTAGCTGAACAGTGAAATAGCATTTTCTATGTGACAAAATACGTTTTAACGCATTTTCATTCAGTTGATCTAACATTCTTATGAGGTAGGTAAAAAAAGATGTCTTTGTTATATAAGTAAGAAAACTGGGATTGTGAGGGGTTAGGACTTTCCTGAAGTTCCAAAAAAACCCAAACTCACTGATGTTAAGTTGGATCTGAGTCATAGTGACTCCTCCTTGGGTTTCCGAGGTGGTAATCACTACAAAAGTAGATTGCCCCAAACAATAATTCATGAATCCAGACTTGAACCCAATATATCCGTCTGTGTTCAGATGAGAATTTTTCCAACATACCATTTTATCAGGAAGATTGTGTCTTACTGAGCAGGGAAATACATAGCTCCACATAATTGAGTGGGAAATAGCACTGTTCTGGCAGCGCTGACACCATCAAGTGACAAAGGAAGGAAAAAACTGTTAATTTTGCATAAAATGTTCAGAAAGATACATCATTTGAATTGAATCTTGAAGAATTGGTTCTTTGGTTTGGGTTTTTTTTTTTTTTTTTTTCTCTTCTTCACTTCTGATGATAGGAGACCATTAGCTTCATCTTAAGGTCAGGTTTCTTCTGTCTTAACTGAAATCTTTGCATTTTTTTTTTTTTTTTTTAATTAAAAAACAATTTTCCGAGGCACTATCACTATGGAAGTAGATTGCCCCACTTTCCCTCCGAGGAGTGGCTTCTTATACTTAAATAAGAAGTAAAAATAGAGTACATTCTTTGAGAGTTCATTTAAATATTTTGTTTGTTTTCTACCCAGGTTTTAGAAAAGAACTCAAGAACTTGGAAATAGGCAGTAAATCTCATGAGTTCCACCCAGAATCACATCTGCAAATAAAAAGTTCTTTAATGAGAAGGTAATCATAGATCATTGGAGATATTAAAACTTTTTTCCAAAATGCATATATTATTAGAAAGAAATAAATACTACTACTCTGAAAACAATAGGTCTACAGAATTATGATGTTCATCTTATTGGGAATCATTAAAGGGATATAGGACTAAATAAAGATGGAGGGCCTACTAAGTGCCAGATACAATATATGATTGTCTGTTTTAATCTTCATAGCACTCAAAAGGTAGGTGATATTTAAACAGAAAATTTGGAACTTAGATTAATTTCCCAAAGCAATAGAGCTTAGATTTTAGACTAGCTTCCTTTCTGTAGCAAAGCCTTAACTCTTTTTAAGTCAAAAACACTTGTCCATGTAATTTGTATGTGAAAAATAATTGTTATAAAATGTTTGCAACTTGATGTCATTTATCTTCAACTTAGAAATTAATTATTACCTAAATAAAGGTAATCTTGAGTAACTAAATTAATTAGTATGTTACCCTTACACAGCATACTGACACAAGTAAAATTTTGCTAGAGATGATTTTTAAAAAACAGTTACAGCAGTATATCAACAGGAAACTGCCAGAAATTCAAGCCGGATTCAGAAGAGGCATGGAACAAGGGATACCATGATGATGTCAGATGAATGTATCTTGGCTAAAAGAAGAGAACACGAGAAAAATATTTACCTGTGTTTTACTGGCAATACAAAGGCATTCAACTATGTGAATCATAAAAAATTATGAATAACATAGCTAAGAATGGGAATTCCAGAACACTTAACTGTGCTCATGCAGGACCTGTATATAGACCAAGAGGCAGTCATTTCAGCAGAACAAGGAGATACTGCTGAGCTTAAAATCAGAAAAAGTGTGCATCAGAGTTTGTCCTTTCACCATATTTATTCAATCTGTGTGCTGAGCAAATAAGTCCTAGAAGCTGGACTGCATGAAGAATGCATCATCAGGATTGGAAGAAGACTGATTAACAGCCTGCAATATGTAGATGACATAGCCTTGCTTGCTAGAAGCTAGGAAGACTTGAAGTACTTACTGATGAAGATCAAAGACTACAACCTTCAGTGTGGATTATACCTGGACATAAGACAAAAATCCTCACAGCTCAACCAGTAAACATCATTGTGATAAATGGAGAAAAGACTGAATTTGTCAATTTCATTTTACTTAGATCTACCATCAACACCTATAGAAGTAGCAGTCAAACGACATATTGCAGTGGGCAAATCTGCTGCAGAAGACCTATTTAAAGTCTTGAAAGCAAGAGTTTGAGGTCTAAAGTGCACCTGGCCCAAGCTATCGTAATTTCAGAACACTTCATATGCATGTCAAAGCTGAACAATGAATAAGGAAGACCAAAGAATTGATGCCTTTGAATTATGGTGTTGGCAAAGAATATTGAATATACAAAGTCTTTCTCCAAGAAATACAGCCAGAATGTTTTCAGAAGCAAGAATAGTGAGACTTTGTATCACACAGTATGGACACGTTATCAGGAGGGACCAGTCCCTTAAAAAGGACATCATGCTAGGTAAAGTAGAGGGGTCAGCAAAAAAAGAGGAAAACCCTTAACCAGATGGGTTGACACAATGGCTGCAACAATAGGCTCAAACTTAGCAGTGATTGTGAGGATGGCACATGACCAGGCAGTGTTTTGCTCTGTTGTACACAGGGTGGCTAAGAATCAGAACTGACTTGACTACACCTAACAACATGTTATCTTTATAGCATTGCATATCAAAATTCCTGGCATATTGAATGGTTTGCTTGTAACATATTTACCTTAAGCTCTGTGCTACGTTTTATCACAAATGTAATTTCAAAGTTGAAATGAGTTTTTTTTTAATTACAGTATTTCTAATTATTAGAAATCTGACTTTAGTAATGATGGATGTTTCTAGTAAGCATTCATATGTTCTGGCGTAAATATTTGGGGTTCAGTAACACTATGAACTATTAATGGTTACAAATTTTTCATTTTCTGTCATTATGTTACAAAAATAATATAAACTATATTAGGAAGTCAGACTACAGGATAAATGTTTTATTTTTCCCATTTTGCATATTTGAACATGGTGTTTTAGTTTTGTTTTCTTAATTAGAAGAGAATTTTCATATTGTTTTTGTGTTTCAGGTCACATACAAATGAAACCAATGGAAAGTTATTTCCTTCATCCAGTTCACAAATACTCAAGGACCATGCTGTAAGAGAGCATACCCATCAGTCAGGTGAACAGAAGCTTGAAAAATCAAGTGCATACAAATTTTCTGAGTGGCTTAATAAAGAAAATTCTGAGAGAACAGGTTTGCCTTTTCACATTGATGACAATTCTACGTCTGAAAACAGAGTGAAAACTAATGAAATAATTTCACCATCTCTCCTGCGGTCATCACAAATGAGAACTGTTGGGTTAAAGCCAGAAACTGCTTCCATTGTGCAGCCACAAAATATCATGGAACAATGTTACTCTGAGAACTTTCTATCCAGAGGACATATAATTCAATCATTTTGCAGATCTGATGATTGTCAGATGCCAAAACTTGTTTGCCAGAATCTACCACCCCCTTTGCCACCAAAGAAATATGCTACAACTAGTGTGCCTCAGTCAGAAAAAAATGAATCTATACCTGATGTTAAAGTTACAGAGATGTTGAAAGCTAATTCTTTGAGTCTACCAAGTACATCTTCAGAACCAGGTATAAAAGTGAATACATATGTAAATGATGAAAGACTTAAGGAAACATTTCAAGTGAAAGAGTGTGTTGGCATCGTACCAGACTACCTATCCAACTCTTCAACTAATGGTTTTCAGGCAGACTCAGGTGCAGTTGTTGATGCATTTTGCCAACCAGAACTAGATTCTAGTTTTCCATGTCCAAGTGAGACAATTTCATTAACCACCTATTTTTCAGTTGATAGCTGTATGACTGATACATACAGGCTGAAATACCATCAGAGGCCCAAGCTTTCTTTTCCATAGAGCAGTAGCTTTTGTGATAATTCAGTCTCAGACTAAGAGGGCTAAAACCTTTGTTACATAATACTGTTAGTTCAACTTGTCCTTCTGAGAAAAGAGATAAACATAGCATACTGTAATAGATAAATGATGAAATGAGCAAGATTGTTCTTCTCAGAGGCCATTACAATATGAGAAATAGGAACCTACTGACTATAATGAGTGAAATATAGAAAGTGAAAAACGTGGCATTTTTTAAATGATTAATCACTTTAACCATATATGCATATCTGGTTAAATTACATATATACCCATTCCTCACTTAGCAACATGGTTAGGTTCCAAAGATCAGGTTGTTATGTGAAAGTCATCGTTATGCAAAAATGGAGGGTGACTGCATCAGATCACAAAGTGGAGGATGACTGCATCATTACATAACTGCCATATTTCATCATTACATACTGCCAAAGCACAGAATCATGGCCCAGCCAAATTGACACATAAATCTTAACCATCACAGCCAATGTGACTCTTGCCTCATACCTTGATGCTTACTGCCAGATGTTTATTGTTAATGCATAAAATAGTTGGGTAGATGTTTTACTATTGTTGTAAAGGCAAAATGTCACATAGTAAGTGAGGAGTAGGTGCATATTAATTTTTTGTGTGTGATGCTCAACTTACTGAATATTTTAGAAGTTCCCTTTAGTGGTTTTGCATGCCTTGAAAAATAGAAAATCAGGGTATGCAAAAAGTAATGTACCATATGCTACAGCTGAATTTAAAAATTAAATCTGTCCATTATATGGTTACTAGACACATAAATATTAAACTAACCCACAACCATGTATGTAGATTGGTAACTGTAATAATTGAAAAACAACAGGTGATATATAGTCTAGTCATACTTTTTGTGATCAGTTGCTTTATGAAGAAGCACTTTCTAATGGGTACCAAAAGGCAGCTTCAACCATCTGCTTTTGACTTCTATGATAGTCTACGACATACAATCCCTTTAAGTGTCTTAAAAAAAGTGTAAATAAACCATGAAAATGTATAGCATTTGGTTAAAAGAAATGCCTTAATGATTTGCAGTTTTAAAATTCTCAAGGTCAGAAGAAACTTAAATTTGCTTCTAGAACTTTTTATCTTCAGAATGCCTGGTCAACATGACTATTGTTTTCATAAATACTACTTCAGCCATGTAAGCTAAAAATAATTAAAATACTTCTATTATTTATCTCTTTGTATTTGTTTCTAGCACAAAATGTGAAAGTTTTTTATTTTGGTTTGGTTTACTCTGGGCTGCTAATAACCAGTGTTAGTGATTAATGAAGGGCCCTCTCATTTTGGGAATATCAATGTGACAGCCTGATATTTCCTTGCTTCTTGTTGTTGTTGTTGTTATGTGCCGTCGAGTCAGCCCTTCCCTAATTATAGGTTATCAACTCAATTTATTGATTTTAATATTCTTGAAACTGCAAGTCTACCTGAGCTTCCACATTAAATTTCTGTCATTTAGAGTTTAATGAAACACCTTATTGAGTGTCTTTCCCTTTTTTTCTAAATAACCCGTGATTTTATTCCAACTACATCCCTGGGGAGGGCTTTGTTTAAAAAATAATGGAATTTTCCACTACTGTATGACCTTACAAACGAAAACAATTTTAACTGCCTTATTTCATTAAAAAAAAAAAAAAAAAAACTCACTGCCGTCGAGTTGAATCCGACTCATAGCGACCCCTCCTTGGGTTTCCAAGGCAGTGTCACTATGGAAGTAAATTGCTTACTCTTTCATTAGTTGCCATTTTATTCTGTACTAAGCTAGTTTAGAATAGTTTCTTATTGTCTGTTCCAGAGAAGTGAGAATTATAAAATCAAAATTCATGAATGGCTAAACTTCATAGATATAATAATTCTAATAATTCTATGAACTTGTTAGTAAATTTAGTATCTTGACTGATTCTATAAATTGTTAAAATATTCCAAAATGTAAATGATTAGAAATGAATACTTTTATATAAAGAGGAAATAATTGCTTATATAACTTTGACCTCACCCAATTACCAAATCTTGGTTGAATTGTGTCTTCCACTGGTAGAGAATATTCAAGTTTTTAATAATTTTCTAACAATAGTTGATTATTACTTTATATTCTCTTAATTTAGAAGTACTTGAATACCAACTAAAATCTTATCCTTTTACAAAGTTTATTTTTAACATAATTTTTAGTATGGAAGTTTTGTAAAAATTGTACATTTTGTAAAATTAAATTTGAAATTCAGTGTATATAATTCCTTTTATAACATTGTAAAATTCTAGAGAAATAGGTTTACTTATATTTTAACAGCTTTCAAAAACCTTCTATATAAGTTTTTTTTTGTTCAAGATGTCTAGTTGAAATATTACTTGTAATATTTAAGCTAATTTCTGATATTTTAATAGCAGTCTCATAGATTCATCTTTTCAACTCACAGTTGAAATTACAAACATCAAATAGAAATGTCCGATTTTGGCTCTTTTAAAGTACTGTCCAGCTGATACCTCCTGAATCATGTGATAGTATTAAACAAACTAGAAACTGCATATTTGTTTTTATGTTGATTCAACACTCCAAATAGAGATTGAATACATATTTACTACTAATCATTCACATGTAAAATTTTGACTCCTAAGGTCCCTATTTATTTTTATAAATGTTCTTCTGGTTATAAGCTTATTATGAGAACTTTTATAATAATGCAACAAACAATTGCTGTAATGCCCAAAATGTCTTCAGAATGTTGTATTTTCATGTAAAATAGGTTTCCACTAGTTCAAAAAATGAAGATAAACAGATTTTTAAGTTAATATTGTTGGACTTTTCTTTGAATTTGTGAACTGTGTCCCTTAACTCCCCACCCCCTTATATGCATTATGTATTCTATGGGAAATATAAGTCAATTTAACGTTTAAGGGTTCTTGTCATTTCACTGATTATAAAATATTATCACAGGAAGTTCTAATAGTTAAACTCCAGCAAGGTCTGAATTGTAGCTCCTAAAGGGTTCAGCAAACTTTTTCCGTAAAGGACCTGATAATATCTTAGGCTTTCTAGGCCATAGGCTCTCTGTAACAACAACTCGACTCTGTCATTGTAACGTGAAAGCAGCCATAAACACCACAAATGGACATTGTTATGTTCCCATAAAACTTTATTTACAGACACAAACATATGGATTTTATATAATTTTCATATAAAATGTTATTTTGGTTACTTTTCAAGCATTTTAAAATGTAAAAACCATTCTTAGGGTATAGGCTGTAGAAAAGAAGGCAAATGTGGCCCACGGGCCATAGTTTGACTCTTGTTCCTACTTTAAATTCTCTCACTGACCCTAAATATCCTACAGTCTGTTTCAAATGCCATACCACTTGTAGCTAATTTTTAACTACCTAGATTAGTTACATGGAGTTTTTTACATCCTAAAATGTTCAAGTTAACATACCCCTAAAAACTGTTCCTCACAACTGAAAATGAAGCCAGTTGATCTCAAATCAGAACAATCATTTCACATACATGAAATTAAGTGTATGCAATTACAAAGGAATTTGTCAGATTAAAATCACATTGATGTTATTCTTTTGATGTCTGTGTTTGCTGTACCAAGTTCACCAACATTTATCCACTACTTAAAAACCTTCATGTTAGTGTGTGGGCACTAAACAGGCACTGTACTCGAGACTGCACAGTACTGTAGCTGGTACAATTTCTTAGCCATATTCATCATCTGTAAGAAAGATTCAACCCTTACATCATTTCCAGTCATGTCATCAAGTTCTCTTCATCTTCACTGTACTAGAAACTTACATAAGATTTAATAGTTAAGAAGCTAATTTTAGGTTCAGAAAGGTATGATAAGAAGTCTTTCTGTGTGGACTAGCGTTAAGCTCTATGAAAACTTAAAAACTGACCTAAGTCAACTTGGTCATGCATAACAGGTTCTTTAAGGTAGTAATAGCTGCCAGTGATTACAGGTAGGTGAATGACCACATTGCCATCAATTCCAACTCAGGAACCCACAGTGATAATGGGCTTAATTTCCTCACCACCTTATTATAGGTAATAAAAATTTAGCTATCCATGTAAATACTTACTGATAAATTTTTAGCAAGCAGAACAAAGATTGTACAACGTGCTTAATTGCTGTTGTTAGGTACCACTGAGTCAGTTTCAATGTATAGCAGCTGTACAACTGAACAAAACACCGTTCTGCACCATCTTGCAGTCGTTGCTGTCTTTTGAGCCTGTTGTTGCAGCTACTGTGTCAATCCATCTCCTTGAGTGTCTTCCTCTTTTTGCTGACCCTCTACCAAGCATGATGTTCTCCTTCAGGGTTTGGTCCCTCCTGATACCATGTCCAAAATATGTGAGCCAAAGTCTCAACCATCCTTGCTTCTAAGAAGCATTCTGCCTTTACGTTTTCTGTGACAGATTTGTTTATTCCTCTGGCAGTCTGTGGTATAGTTTATATTCTTCACCAACATAATTCAAATGTGTCAGTTCTTCAGTCTTACTTATTGTCTAACTTTGCATACATATGAGGCAATTGAAAATACCATGGCTTGCGTCAAGCCATCTTAGTACTCAAAGTAACAGCACTGCTTTCTAACACATTTAAGAGTCTTTTGCAGCAGATCTGCCCAATATAATACATCTTGATTTCTTGACTGCTGCTTCCACGGGTGTTATGATTCCAAACAAAATGAAATCCTTGACAACTTCAATCTTTTCTCCATTTACCATGATGTTGCTTACTGGCCCAGTTATGAGGGGTTTTGTTATCTTTTTGTTGAGGTGCAATCCATACTGAAGGTCAGTCTTTGATTTTCATCAGCAGTGCTTCAAGTCCTTCTAGCTTTCAGCAAGCAAGGTTGTGTCCTCTGTGTATCACAGGTGGTTCATGAGTCTTCCTCCAATTTCAATGCAAGGTTTCCTTCATATTGTCCATCTTCTAGGATTATTTGCTTAGTACAGAGATTGAGTAAGTATGGTGAAAGGATACATCAACGCACACCTTTTCTGGGATTTTAAAGTGAATAGTATCTCATTCTATTTAACAGCTTCTTGATCTGTGTATAGGTTCTGCATAAACACAATTAAGCGTCAATTATCTTCAGCAAAATTTTACTTCCATGTGATATTGATGTTGTTCAGTAATTTCTCCATTTTGTTTTATCGCCTTTCTTTAGAATGGACACAAATAGAGATCTCTTTCAGTTGGTTAGTCAAGTAGCTGTCTTCCAAATTTCTTGATAGACAAATGAACACTTTCAGTGTTGCATCCTTTTGTTGAAACATCTCAATTGGTATTCTACGAATTCCTTCAGTGCAGCTTGGACTTCTTCCTTCAATACCATCAGCTGTTGATCATACACTTCTTTCTGAAATGGTTGAACATCAACCACTTCTTTTTGGTACAGTGCTTGTGTGTATTCCTTCCATCTTTTGATGCTTTCCGTGTCATTCAATATTACCTGCCTGATAAGGTCAATCAAATCCCACTTCATAGTTAGATACTTCAGGCCACATCTTGTATAAAGGGTTCTCTTTAGGCAGAAGCATTGATACCTTAAAAGTGTAACTGTTACGGTCAGCGTTAGGGAATTAGAGTTTGCCAAACTCGATATCATACTTGACTTTAGCCCTAAGCATCTCTAAAAGGCAGAGGATATAGAGCTTACTAGATCTCACACCCTGTCATGGGAGGAGAATATCCTCAAAATATTTCAGCCAATTCCCATGTAACAAATGTCACTAATTTTATCAACGCACTCCCATTTATAATATCCTCTAGGGCTAACAGGAATCATTTCTGAAGTCTTTGGAGTAGCTGACTTTTGGAGTATAGCCTTTCTAATTAAATGTGAGCTGATGATCACTGGAATATAAATTCTCATTAACATACATATTTAGATAAATTTGATTTTTTAAAAAATAAACCAGAATGAAAGCCCCTTGAATGCCAGGATTTCTGTTTTGGTCACTGGTGTCCCTAAATGTCTGCCTGACCCATAATAAGCACTAAAACATCTCCTGAATAAGGAAATATCACATTTCCCCTACTGAGTATTCAAGTAGGTGGTGGGGGTTGTTGTCTTTGTTATGTGCTGTGGAGTCAGACCAGACGGACTCATAGCAACCCCCTCCTTGGGTTTCTGAGGCAGTATCACTACGGAAGTAGACTGCCCAACCTTCCTTCCGAGGAGTGGCAGGTGGGTTTGAACTGCCAGCCTTCTGGTTAGCAGTCAAGTGCCTTAGGCGCTACACTACCAGGGTTCCCTCAAATAGTTACATACATAAAAATCAGGCTTTGGTCACAAGCATCTTTAATGCAATCACAGTAAGAAAAAAAGTTCTGAAATACACACACCATTTTAGGAAACTCAATGGTTTAAGAAAAAATAGGTCACTTCTGAGTAAGAGGACATACATGCTAGCTTTCAATACTACATATTACCTAGTTTCTCAAGTTTGTAGCCATCAGCTATATCTTTTCTTAACACTGTCCTACTTAATCCAAAAATTAAACTGGTATTTATAGCTAATATGTAATGGGCCTGCATTTTCTGTAAAGCTTCACTATTCATAGCTTTTTAAGTCAATTTAAAAGGAGTTTGGTAGCACAGTGGTTAAAGCATTTGGTTTCTAACTAAAAGGTCAGCAGTTTGAACACACCAGCCGCTCTGCATAGCGGTCTGTTTCCATAAAGATTTACAGCCTTGGAAACCCTGTGGAGCAGTTCTCTGTCCTAAAGGGTTGCTATGAGTCAGAACTGACTCGATGGCAGTGGGTTTAATGCAGTTTAAGAACACTTTGTTCATTCTCTTAACTAACTTTTCTTGCCTTGGAGTAATTTACTTTTGAATTTATAAATACCTCACATTAGTTCACCACATTATTTGCAACACAGTAAACTCTGACCAACCCTTAAAATATTAAATGAAAGACATGATTATATTTACTAATGAATACACTAAACCCTTAGCTACAAATACTATATTCGGTCCCTGTGAAACCATCAGATGTTTGAAAGATTTTTAAATATGAACAAAAGGGTCTAGTTTTAAGAATTGAGTTAAAATGGGCGAGATCACTCCCTGTTTAATACAGTCCCTAAATGAATAACAGAATGTGTAAAATGATTAGAACATCCCTATGAGTTTCAAATTCTTCTGTTGCACAATCCTGTCTTCTTTATTCAAGAAGTCTGTCGTCATTTCAGAAGCCAATCCAGAATCCAACTTCTTAATTTAGGTATCAAGCAAACCGGTCTGTAAGAACCAAATTATTTGTCAGCAATGTTTCCTTTTCCTTCTCATTGTAACACTTTATGTCAACTTACGAAAATCTTGATTAAAACAATCGCTTGCCCATTACCAAATGTTTTACATATTGATGAGCAAAACAAACTAAAAAACCTAAACAACTACTTGTAACCCTTCTACTTTCTACCCAGAGCTAAAAATTCAGGTCCTTAACCAAAAACAAAACAAAAAAACAACCCATCACACTTAAGGTATGAATCTGTACCAAAAAAGGAGGGAGAGGCCAATGAAGAAATGGAAACTCTCCTTTTAAAACTGGCTTGCCAGAGGACTTTACCGAAATGTCCATCCTTTCCATTCTCCCCAGTCAACCCTCTGCTTTCCAACTTGTCACATCATCCAAGATCAGAGACAACAGGGCCTGAAATACAGTTAAGTTTATGCCTAAATGTTTGCCAAAATTTGGGGATGGCAGGTAGGGGAAGATTGAAATAACTTGTCTATCAAGGAATGCAAATTTCACAAGTGAAAACTCCTAAGTATAAAATCTTAGACACCTGATACTCATCAGCATGATGACCGAGAGGAGATAATTGAGGAACAATCAACTGTAAAGTCTAGGAGAGCTGTTTTAGTATCTAAATGGGCTGCACTGCTTTTTATCCAGAGCCCTCCACTGCTTTGCTTCTGAATTTACAGCTTTCCTATTTTTATCCCAGTCCTGTGTCTCTTTTTGTTTTCTCTCTCCCTTCTCCATTCTCTAAGTTCCCTTCCTTTATCTCTTGTCACAACTGCCTTTTCAGAGTGGTACTGAATATGGACAGTATGGATTCAAGATATGTTTTCAGGTGGAATCTATAGAATTTTGTCACTAATAGGTGTTTGGGGGACATATGAGTGTGTAAAAAAAGGGGAAAAAGTCAGAATCCAAGCGCTCTGGCAGGAGTAACTCAGTGGGTAAAGTTGCGAATTACTAATACAGAAACACTGAAAGGTAAGTACACTTGAGTAAGAAGTTAAGAGTTGGGTTTTGGGCAAAGTTAAGTCTGAGATACCTTCCTGGACTGCTCAAGGTCAAACAGTTGTACAATACCAGTAGCTTTAGTTGAACACTTATTACTGGCAGTAACCATGCTTACTCAGTCTAAAATCATAAGATGAGAAAATAAAGCTCCAGGAAGCTAAACTTCCCCAGTTCTATAGCGCTGGAACTCAAACCCGGGCGGTTTCATTCCAAAATATAACACACACACACACACACCCCTACCTAGTTTTTTCCACATCCTTTTGAAGACCCTCACTGAGGTGGCTTTTGTTGTTATGTGCCGTGGAGTCAGACCCGACTCATAGCGACCCCTCCTTAGGTTTCTGAAGCAGTATCACTACGGAAGCAGATCGCCCCATCTTGAAGTGGCTAAGAAAGGACATTTACTCTAGTCCTCCCCCCAACTCATCCACCCACCTAACCTTGGATCTGTCATACAAACTCTCTGGGATTCAGTCCCCGTCACCACCCCAACCCCACCCCCCTCAAGGAAAAACTGGTGTAGCTCTAAACCGCTTCCCACTTCAACTCCACTCGGAATACTCACCAGGGCATAAGATACACGAAGAAAAACAACACCAGGTCGAAGAGGATGAAGAGCCAGAGGTCTAACCAATAGGAATGTTTTGGAATCCCGTTTATCCCAGACTGAGGCCGCACATCAGGGTTTTGCTCCTGCCTCTCAGCCTCACTCAAGCCTCGCCTCTCTCGGAGACCGTCCCGACCGTCTACAGACTCTGCGCCCACCTCCATCTCACTCCCTCTCGTACACCGAAAGTCCAGCACCTAGAAAAGTCTGTCGGCACTTCCGCGTTGTCCGCGCCGGAAATTAGTTACGAGTTGACCGCCTGCGCAGTCGTCTGCTACCCTCGCCCCCGGAAATGGACTTTGTGTCTGCCACTCCCAGCTTTCAGGCACCGTGCCTGCGGTCCGATGCATCCGTGACAATTGGCAGGTCCTGCGGCCTCCACCCGGAAACGTGGGGGGCGGGCCCGCCCACTCCCGTCCTGCTGCGTCGCGTTCTATTGCTGGTTTTTCAGGTTTCCCTGGAGAAATATCGTCGTGCGGACCAGAAATCACCATCACGTCCCATTCCTGTCAGCTGATGGGCTGGCTCCACCTTAGAGCTGCCGTTTGTTACTTCTCCTTATACCAAAGTTTTAAGGACCCCTGGTATTGCATTGGTTAAGCACTCCAGCCGCCGAGCAGGAGAAAAGACCTGGCGATCTGATGTAAAAATTACAGCCTAGGAAACCTAATGGGATAATTCCACCCTGTCTCACAGGATTCCTAGATCCAAATGGACTTGATGGAACCACCACCAAGGTTTTAAGAAGGCACCCTCATGTGGGTTTGGTGCGATCCCTAGCATTTTACACTTATTTAGTCCTTGAACCAGTGCTAATGAGGTAAGCATCATAATTGCAAGCAAACCACGAGACTGTTGCAGGTTAGTGAATTCAAGAATAATTAAAGAGTTGTGAAGTGTGGTCCCCAGCAAGGTCAATGCTATTAGAAAAATGATTGACCGTATTCCCCAGATTTTCTCTGGCAGCTCAGATATGAGACATTCTCTTCCCTGTCAGATTATGAATTCTGAATTGTTCAGAAGATATAGGCACCTCCCAACCCACCCACTGCCATGGAGTCGGATCCCACTCATAGCGACGCCTCCTTGGGTTTCCCAGGCGGTATCACTACGAAAGTAGATTGCCCAACCTTCTTTCCAAGGAGCGCTGGTGGGTTTGAACCACCAGCCTTCTGGTTAGCAGTCAAATGCCTTAGGCACTGTGCCACCAGAGCTCCCTTTATAGGCATCTAGGCATGCATATAAATGGTTTTATTGTTTGTTGTTATGTGCCGGGAGTCGACCTGACTCATAGCGACCCCTCCTTGGGTTTCTGAGGCAGTATCAACTAAGGAAGTAGATTGCCCCATCTGCCTTCTGAGGAGTGGCTGGTGGGTTTGAACCGCCATCCTTCTGGTTAGCAGTCAAGTGCCTTAGGCAGTATGCTACCAGAGGTCCTAAAATGGTTTTATTAGTGGGATAGTAATGAACGAAGATGTCACTTTGTTGTGTATTTATAAACTGTCATTAAATCTTCATGAGATCTTCTTGAAGGAGGAATCACTCAATTTTACAGGTAGAAAATGAACCACAAAAGGAGTGAATTGCCCAACGTTACCAAAAGATAATACCTAAAATGAACTAAAATTCAACATTCTTAATGTTATACTACGGCTGCCTTACCTTGCTTAATTTGCCTTTAAATCAGTTGCCAGGTAGTAAGGCAAACATAAACTACCTTTTAAGAAAAATGCTTAGCATCCTTTGCTTTGCAGTTTCTGGGAATGAGGCCATTATTTGAGAATGAACTAGACTGTGTGATGTAGCCAATTATCTGCTGATAGATTGAAAAAGATCCTGTTTTAAGTGACATTGAGACTTTACAAATATTAGAGGCAAGTCAACTCTTGCCCTGTTCTGAGATGGAAGCACTCTTCTCACTGGCAAAATAAGATCAGTTCTTTTTAATTAATGACATAAGATTGCTTTAAAAAAAATCTATTAGTGTAAAAGAAGCCTGCTATAAACCAAAAATAAAAGTTCTTAAATAGTCTTAAACTTGACTTTGCCAAAGAGACTCATCCTCACCTATGAGGGCATGTTGGTATTATAGTTGAATCTCTTGAAACAGAAGGTCTGTCTGAGTTAGTAGAATAATGCAAATAGGGAGAGGCCATTTAGATTAATGTCAGTTGGAAGATCCTATCACTTCTTCAGATAACACCCCTGAAAAAAAAAAAATCCCAGTAATTTTTTTTTATTACTCCATATAACAGAAATGAATTTAATGGTATATCCCTAAGTTAAAAGCAATTAAGCAATTTAATTTCAAAGGTAGTTCCTTACTGAAATTCAGGTTCGCTGTTAGTAATTAAAGAGCTCAGCATTTTCCCAATCCCCTTGATCCTTTCCACCTCACAAGTTCAAGAAAAATATATGCATCAGGAGCTATGATTGAATTGTTACACTGCAATCATGTTTGAACACATTCACAATACCACCAACATAATTATTCTAATTGGGATGCAGTGGGGAAGATAATGTATGGGAATGCCATAATAATCAAGCCAAAGATGGCTTAGTATTTTTAAGAAGACATTACAAGTCTTCTGAAGTTCAGATACTGTAAATTCTCAGAAGGGTAGTGATGACTTTGGTTTTGACCTAAGGTAAGGCAGATTTCTTTAGGCAGTTGTCAAGCCAGTATGACCATATAATAAAGCATCCTCATGATCATCCTAGGAATTAAACTAATTGTATAAAATGACCTCTCTAACTGTAAAGAAACTTGTTTTTGTCATTATCATCTGAAAACATATACATGTTTGTCATAAATCATCTCTTTCTCATCATTAATCCATCTTTTCCTCTTTTCCAAATCGGATACCTGTCCCAACAATAAATGGGTTGATTGGTACAAGTTACTTTGTTCTCTTCCATAATTACTGTTTTACATACCTATGATAGTTTTCATTGTAATTCTCATAGTGAGAATTACAATATTGTGGAAGGCTGAAGTGGAAGGCCGAATGGGCCCCTCAATGAAAACTGTAAAACTTTCACAGGCTAGCAGGCATGATTAAAGTGGACATTACTCATAGTGACTAACTTGCTATTTCTCCTTCACTTTTGCTTTCTTTTAAGTAAATAGAATAGCCAATCTTTTATGGATGTTGAATTCTTTAGATTTGCTATTTTCAATTATATGTTCTTCTAAGCAATAACCCTCTCCCACAACTGGTTTTTGGCTGAGAACTGTAGCCTGTGGAGCAAAACGACCCTGGGAAGAGGGATGCTGAGTCTGGAGTAACCAGGGAAAAGAAGAACAAAGGTATTCCTGGTCATCTAAGAGATCTTCAGCCCTCTTCCCATTTCCTTATATAATCATGTTTACCCCTTTGCTTAAGGAGACACACATTTTAGAGAAATGATTCTCTCTGTTTCCTTGGGTATTGATACTCAATAAACCTTTTGCTTTCCCTCTTCACTCTGTTGTGATCATTGGCTCTTCATGACAGGGGGTGAGGACCTTGTTTCCTGCAACACTATCATCATAATTAATTGCTATTTGTTGCACCTTCTCTTATATCTTCATCTCGACCTTTAACTGTCTGAATCCCTATACCCTATTGTTAATCTGATTCCATCCTACACTGTCAGCCTGGTACCAAGTAAACACCCTTTGATCATGCCAGATTGCTTCCTTCCATCTTCCTCCAGGAAACTATTATTTTCTTGGTTTTGAGGATTTGGTGCATGCTGTTCCCATTGAACTGTAGTGTTTTCACACTTAGTTATTTAAGACAGTGTACTATAACAGAAATACCATAAGTGGGTGGCTTTAACAAACAAATTTTTTTTTCACAGATCAAGAAGCTAGAAATCTGAATTCAGGGTGCCAGTGAGATAGGGACATATGTAAAGAGTGAAATAACCCCTACTATTTTTTTTTTAATATTATTAAGATTGTTTAAACTGCTGCCATATTCCTTTGTGACTATTTTGCAGCATTATTAACTCTTAGGCCACTTCTTTTCCTGTGGACTTAGAGTTAGAAGGCACAGCATATCCTAGAGATAAGTCTAAACAAACTGACTAACACTCCTTGCTGATAGCAATTGTAAAACCTAATTGCTCTGTAATCATTGGGCTGTAATCTCCAAATGTAGGATACCCTATGACAGCCCCCATTTTGTTCAAGCAAAAGAAAACATTTTTCTGGGCAAAGTGCAGGACCAGAAGAAAAGCCCACCAGCTTCCAAACAAGGATTACTTTGGGTGTTTGGAAAAGGAATGTCATCCAACTTCCAAAACAGGATAACCTTGAAACCCAAGCCCCTAATTTGCTGGTTGCGCAGCTTCCACATTTTGCCCCCATATATCTACTGTGTATAGGACAAATAGCTCTCAGCTCAGTTAGTGTGTTCCTCCTACCTGGCTGACCTCCGCTGCGCAGTGCTTCACTAGAGGCTTGCTTTTTAAAATCTGTCTGTCTCTCTGAGCAATTCTTTCTCAGCAAAAGACAAGAGCCCACCAGAAGACTCATGAGTCCCATCTTGTGAAACCAGCACTAAGGGAAGGCTTTCTTTCTCTGTTGGCTCTGGCAAAAGTCCCTGCCTCTTTGAGCTTCTGCTCTTGGGTGATCCTCATGTGGCTTGACATCTCTCCCCATCAACTGCTTGTTTAATCTCTTTTATATCTCAAAAGAAATTGACTTAAGACATACCAACACTAATCTTGTCTCATTGACATTACAAAGTCAACCCATTCCCAAATGGGATGATAAGCAACAAGCATGTTGTTGTTGTTGTTAGGTGCTGTTGAGTCATCTCCAACTCACAGTGACCTTATGTAAAACAGAATGAAACACTGCCCAGTCCTGTGCCAGCCTCACTACTCTTGACATACCTGAGCCCATCGTTGCAGCCACTGTGTCTATCCATCTCGTTGAGGGCCTTCCTCTTCTTCATTGATCCTCCACTTTACCACACATGATATCATTCTCCAGAGAATGGTCCCTTCTGACAACATGACCAAAGTAGTTGAGATGAAGTCTGGCTATTCTTGCTGCCAAGGAGCATTCCGGCTGCATATCTTCTAGGACATATTTGTTAGTTCTTTTAGCAGTCCATGGTACTTTTGGTAGTCTTCAGCAACACCACAACTCAAAAAAGTATCAAGTCTT